GTTTGTGCGCGCGTGTGATATGGTGTGACGCGGTGTAGCGTGGTGGTGGTGGGTGGGGTAGTGCGGTGGTGGTGGCGGTGCGCGGTGGTGGTGCGCGTGCGTGCGTGCGTGCGTTGGTGGGTGGAAGTGGCGGTGGGTGTGCGTGCGGCGGGGCGGGGCGTGGTGCGGCGCGGTGGTGGCGGGCGGATGGGCGCGCGAGAAAGAGGCCCGCGCTGGGGCGAGAACGCCATCCTGAACGACGGAGGCAAAACACCGATCCGAAAATGAGGCCCACGCTGCAGCGGGAGCACGATTCGGAACGATTCGGGAGCAGAAATGAGGCCGGCGCCTCAGCGAGAGCAGCATTTTGAAAAAAACGCAGGCGAAAACCCAACTCCCGGGAATCCTGTGTGTAAAAAACAGTACGCGGGGGGGGGGGTCGAATATTCCCAGCACGCCATCAGGGGAAGAGGGAGAGTAGTATTCATATTGAGTAAATGTGGAGAAGGGGGAGGAGCAGGAGGAGGACGAAGAGGAGGAGGAGGAGGAGGAGGAGGAAGAGGAGGAGGAGGAGGAGGAGTTAGAGGAGTCGAGAACAACGGCGGCCCTCCACCGTGTTCTTACTCCTCTCCGGCCTCCGAGGAGCGACCCCCCCCCCCAGCAGGAGAAAACTGGCGAGGAGCCTGGAGACCCCGCCCAAGACATACCGCCGACGATGCACACCGCCGGCGATGCGGCACTGTGCAGTGTGCGGCCCCATCGACTCTGACCCCTTCCAGGGCCACGCTGACGGCGATGTTGCGTGACGGCGATGTTGGGAACCAGCTTGCAGGAGATCACGATCCACACTGTCCTACGTTTCCAGTAAACATGCAAATGTACCGCACGACAACGACACAGCGAACTGCAGGAAGGCACGAGCCACGCGCTCCCACAATACCGAAACCTACATCGCCGTTACCTACATCGCCGATAGCTCCTCCTCCTCCTCCTCCTCCTCCTCTCCTCCTCCTCCTCCCCCTCCTCCTCCCCCTCCTGCTCCTCTCCTCCTCCTGCTCCTCCTCCTCCCTCCTCCTCCTCCTCCTCCTCCTCCTCCTCCTCCTCCTCCTCCTTCCCCTCCTCCTCCTCATTATCTTCCTCCTCCTCATCATCATCATTTTCCTCCTCCTCCTCCTCCTCCTTCTCCTCCTCCCCCCTCCTCATCCTCCTTCTCCTCCTCCCCCCTCCTGCTCCTCGTGTCTACGGCCCTTCCCCGGGGGTAGCTCTCCGGCCCGGATCCACTCCTGATGGCCCCGGGGCCCGACGACGTGCCCCACCAGGGCCCGCAGAGTGGAGGAGCAGCGCCGAGGCTGCAGAGACCACGGGAGCCCCAGAGCTGGAGGGAGGCAGGAATCGCGGCCAGAGCTCTGGCAGTCTCGGCCTTCGCGGCCAGGATACGCAGCACGCAAAACGCAGCGTGCTGGCACGGAGCTCAGCACGCAGATTGAGAACGTAGGTTTGTCGCGATGCGCTCGCCGAAACGTGGGCCGACACGTTGAGTTGAGCCAACACGCAGCGTGACAGCACGGACGTTCTGAGCACAGTACGTGTTGCGCTTCAGAACTGGGGAGACCAAAAGGTCCTGATACTGCTACTCCCCGGACCTCTTCTGGGGTGCTTACTGAGCGGAACTTCGAGGCGAATCCAGCGGTTTCGACGAGGGCCTCCCAGGAGACCCAAAGTGGAGAAAACGAGGCAAGGGTAGCGGTCTGGGTACCTGTTCCTCCTCCGGAAACAAAAAAACAAAAAAACAAAAAACAACAAAAAACGGGCGCATCGGGGCAGCTAAGCTTCAGGCTTGGACGCCCGAAATGGGTACGGAAAAATGGGCGTGATGCAAAACGAAAAATGTTGCCCAACACCAACAGCGGTCGCTGATGGGCAAGCGCCCTTCTGCCTCAAATGGACACCGTCCGCGACGACACCGACAGCGAATCCTGCTCGACAAGAACCGGAAATGCTGTCGGTTTTTGTTGTACCCATTCTTTCCGCACCTATTTCGGTCGTCCCGATCAGGAGCCTCCAGCCTGCGGCTACACGCAAGAGTGACCCTGGGCAAGAGTGACCTTTGGTGCGCGGCTTTTCGGGGGACGCGGGATGGCCAAACTCAGACGCGCAAGCCGCCACTATCGCATCACATTCGGCGATCGGGGGGCCCTCATTCCAGCGAAAGGTCACTCGTACGTCAAGTCGAAGTCTCAAGGTCTGGCATAGTTCGGGCGTGTCCCTCTACAGGCGGATTTTGGACGACAAATAAAAAATAGTCAAAACATACTGCAAAACATGTTCGGAAATAATACAAAATCGTCACCAGACTATCTTCTGGCAATGTTTGAACATTCCCCCTGTAGAGGGACAAGCCCGACTTAAGCCTTCAGGCCGGGCGTGCCCCCCTTCAGGCGGAGTTTGGCCAACAAATAAAAAGAGCCCAAAAATGCTCAAAGATAGCCGAGCATAGTCCAAAAATCGTCCCCAGACTACGTCTTGGTTGACTACTTTGAACATTCCATCTGTAGAGGAACAGGCCCGACTTGAGCCTTTAGGTCGGGCGTGTCCCCCTACAAGCGGATTTTGGACGAACAAAATGCTCAAGCATAGCCGAGCATAGTCCAAAAATCGTCCCCTGACTATCTTTTGACTACATTTGAACATTCCCCATGTAGAGGAACAGGCCCGACTTGAGCCTGGCAGCACGGCGGCCAGCGCGGCCGCCCCCGCGCCTTCCAGGCCGCGGCCTCCGAGGCGCCGTCCACGCCGGCCGCGGGTGCGGCGGCAGGTCGCGGCGCGCCCTGGCGCCGCGCGGCGCCGCCGTGGCCGCCGCCGTGGCCGCCGCCGTGGCCGTCGCCGCCCTCCTCCTCCTCCTCCTCCTCATCACCATCATCATCATCATCATCATCATCATCATCATCATCATCATCATCATCATCATCATCATCATCATCATCATCATCATCATCATCATCATCATCATCATCATCATCATCATCATCACCATCACCATCACCACCACCACCACCATCAGCAGCAGCAGCAGCATCACATCCTCCTCCTCCTCCTCCTCCTCCTCCTCCTCCCTCCTCCTCCTCCCTCCCTCCCTCCCTCCCTCCCTCCCTCCCCCTCCCTCCCTCCCTCCCTCCCCATTCCCCCCGTGGTGGCGGCCGTGGCCGTGGCCGTGGCCGTCGTGGCCGGCGCCACCGCCGCGGTCGGTCGGCCGTCGGCCGCCGGTGCCGTGGCGTGGGCGCGCGCTCGGCGTGGCGGCTCGGAGCCGTGGCGCGCCGCCCCGGAGAGCCACCCGGGCGAAGGGGCCGCGGCGCCGCGCCCGGGAGGTGGCGCGCCGCGGCTCCCGACCGTGCAGAGCGCAGCAGGGAGCCTCGCGGAGGGCGTCCCGCCCGCTCTCGGCCTGGACCACCCCAGACCCCCTCGCGTTGTGGAGAAAGACCTATAGTCCCCCGCAGTGGCGGAGAAGAGAGAGGGGTGCCCATCCCATGTGTCCCTCTTAGTGTCCATCCCCAGTGCACATCCCCAGTGTCCTTCCCCAGTGTTCATCCCCAGTGTCGATCCCTGGTGTCCATCCCCAGAGTTCATCCCCAGTGTTCATCCCCAGCGTCCATCCCGGAGGCGAACCCTCCTGAATTGGCAACGCAAGCCCGGGGAAGAAATGATCGCGTTCGGGCACCCCTCTCTCTGATCACGACGGGAGGTGTGTCGCCATCTCGGGCCTCCCCTGAGACATCCTGGCGCCGCAGGGGTCTCACAGCGGGCGTCCTCGCCCAGGCTCGGGCCCCACGGGCCCACAGGACACTCGCAGCTCGGTCCGCCTCGCGGAGCGACGCAGAAAGATGGGCTCCATGTGGCTCTGGGCGTGATGTTTCGCGGTGCTGCATTTTGTCGCAACGTCGGACATCAGTAGGGGACCAAATGCGAACCCTACCCCTACCCCCCACGATTTCTGAGGGGGAGGGTGGGGTTCACTCGCTCGGGAGCTCCCGGACGAAGTGAACCCCACCCTCCCACTCAGAAACCAAGGAGGGTAGGGGTAGGGTTCGCATGTGGCCCCCTAATCAGGGTCCGGGGGCCCTCGGGCCCCCGGGACTGTCCAGAGACGGCTCGGGATGCGAAGACGGCCCCAGGGAAGGGGTCTGGACCTCTGGGGCTCGGCGCTGTGAAGAGCTCGCGGCGGCGGGGGTCTGGGATGGCGGTACTCCTGGCTCGGTTCGTCCCTGGTGGGCCTGCTGGAGAAGCTTCTCGCAGGAGAGCCCGGAATCGAATCGACAAATCGGATCGGCAGGCATCGGCAGCCGAGTCGGGAGAAGACAAATCGGCGGAAATCGGCAGTCTAGTAGGAGGCCTCCATTGACCGTTGAGAAATCGAACTCCGAGTCGGAATCCCACGCCGAATCGAGCCAGGATCGGAGCCCATCGGCATCGCATCGCATCGGAGGAACCGAAGCGAGCCCTGCTCTCGTCGCCGCGGCTGGACTCGCCTGGACGGGCCCGGGTGGATCTCCCAGGGGTCCCGGGGGCAGATCTTCAGCGGACCAGGGATGGGCGGGAGAGCCGCCGTGGTCTCGAGTGGCCTTCCTCCCCCCTCGCAGTGCCTGCCTTCGGCGCCGAAGGCCCCAGACCCACCAGCCCCTCGGGCCCTCGGCCGTGGGGCAGCGTCTCCCCATGGATTTCGAGGCGAATCCAGCGGTGGCGACGAGGACCTCCCAGGAGGCCCAAAAGGGGGAAAACGACAGAAGAGTAAAGGTATGGGCACCTTTTGGGCGCGCGCAGCCTTCCTCCTCCTCCTCCTCCTCCTCCTCCGCCTCCTCCTCCTCCTCCTCCTCCTCCTCCTCCGCCTCCTCCCCCCCCTCCTCCTCCTCCCCCTCCTCCTCCTCCTCCTCCTCCTCCTCCTCCTCCTCCTCCTCCTCCTCCTCCTCCTCCTCCTCCTCCTGCGCGCGCAGCCTGGAGGGCGAGCGCCGGAGAGGGGAGGGCTGGGCTCACAGGCAGTTCTTGGAGGGCTCGTCGTTCGGCTTCAGCTCCTGCTCAGTATCGTTTACCGACCCCCATCCCCGTCCCCATCCCCTTCGAGACCCCCACCAAATTACCACCCCGGTTGGGGATACACCACTCGAAATCCAAAGGGAGCGGCCTATATCCCCATCTGGGGGGCCAAATCGGCTAGTGGGGCCCAAGCCACGCCGCTGGGGATGGGGACCGGTTAAACGATGCTCACCTGCGCGACCGTGAGGAGCCGCTTCAGGCAGGTCAGGTAGCCTTTGACGTCCTCGGGCTGACTGCCGGGTGCCCACCAGGTGGGCGCCCGGGAAGGCACGAGGCCCTGCCGACGGCACCCTGTGCTGCAGACGTGGAGAGGGCACCAGACGCCATGGGCCATGGATGGAAGTCGCCCACATGGGGTCGAGGCAGATGGGATCGCCGAGGCATCGGGGATAGGTCGGCGACATCGGCGATGCGTCGGGGCGTCGGCGTGGAGAACATCAGGCTCCACAGCGCGCCGCATCGCCGAGGCAGCCGCCGAGGCATCGGCGATGCGGCGCGATCCACCGATACCATCTACTTCGACCCCATCTTGGCGGCCTGGCACAGACAGGCCACAGTGGGGGTACACTTGCTTCTGCTGGATCGACCCACTAATCAGACCCAGCTGCGCCCGAGAGGAGGAGGAGGAGGAGGAGGAGGAGGAGGAGGAGGAGGAGGAGGAGGAGGAGAAGGAGGAGGAGGAGGAGGAGGAGGAGGGGGAAGAGGATCGGGGTAGACGAAAAGGGGGGTTGACGAGTCAACTACTTGCTGCTGCTTGCCTGGGCGCCTCGGGGCACCAAGAGCGACCGTGCATCGAGGAATGCACCCAACAATTGAGCCAAAACCTGCTGCACGCCGCAGACCTCGAATCCCCCTCTCCTCACCCCACCGCTCGAACCGTCCGAGACGCATCGCCAAGCGACGCCGGCTGCGGGGCGGAGATTCACCCGCACCCACCGCCCGGGAAACCGACGTCCGGGCGCCCCAGTGGGCGGTGGATGTGGAAATGGCCCCCGGAGGCCCGAGCGTGTAACCCTGGGGAGCAAGCAGTAACCCCCCCGGCGATATCGCCAGCACAGAAAATAAGATAAATAATCATTTTGGGCGGCGCCCTCCGGGGGGGAGGGGGGTCTACTGATTGCTTCCCAGGGGTAGGTCCGCGAAGATCGAATCCCCCAGGCGGTGCACTTCGACAGCCCGCCTCGGACCAGCGCGCCCCCACGGCGCCGGGGGGCGGGCCGAGCGCTGCGACGGGGCCGCGGCCCCGCCGCCGTCCCCCCCACGGAGGGCCGCCCCCGGGCCCGCGCGCACGGGGAGAGCCGCGCCCCGGGCCCGCGCCCCGTCCCGCCACGTCCTCCGAGAACCGCCCGCCGAAGGCGACTACCTAGCAGACCACCCCAACCCAACCCGAAGACCCGAATTTGACCCGAGTTTCGGGTTGGGGGGGGTACGGATACCACATGTTTTTTCAACGTTCCCCGACCCCCCCCACACTGGAAATCGAGGATGAATTGGGGCCTTCGGGCTGGGTTGGGGTGGTCTGGTAGGTGGTGAGAAAGGGGGGCGCGAGGAGGGCGCGGCGAGTCTTGGGGCGGAAGTCTGGCCACGGGCTCGGGTGCTGTGGGGCCGAGCCGGATGGAGGGGAGGGAGAGGGAGGGGAGGAGGAGGAGGAGGAGGAGGAGGAGGAGGAGGAGGAGGAGGAGGAGGTGGAGGAGGAGGAAGCTGATGAAGAGGAGGAGGGGAGGAAGAGGACAATGAGGACGACGAGGAGGTGCAGGAGAGGAGGGAGGAGCGGAAGGCGCACAGATCATGGAGCATGCAGAGCCTACGTCGGCCAGCGTGGGCCCCGAACAGTGCAATTCTAGAAAGCTCTGCGTTTCAGCATGACTGGTGCGATCTACGGTGCGCAAAGCATGTGGTGCAGTATATATGTAATTATATGGTGCACAAATATGAAGGGGCCCTGGGACACACAAATAAATACACACAAATAAAAGGATTACCCATATTTTTCCATCTTTTCTGGGTTTTTGTCTTCCCCCCCACTTCCCATATTTTCCCATATTTTCCTGGGATCGAGGATTAATTGTGTCTGTGTGTTTCTTTTCCTCTTGAAAATAATGTGGTGCACTGATATGTGGTGCGACCTATATTGTGTAATATACGCCGTGCAATTTCTGTAGTGCGACACGGATGTCCAATCTATGTGGTGCAACTGGTATGTTTTACAGACTAGTTGACACACCCCACGAGTTTGCAAACATACCACCCACCTACCCGCAACTTGGCTTGCAAAACCCATGCGGTGGCGATTGCGATGAGTGGTCGGCCTTGGCTGGTGCATCTCTGCGGGCGCGCTAGCCCACGCATGCTCGCGCGCACAACGGCCAGCTAGTTTGGCGCGACCGACGGAGACGATGGTGGCGATGTCGACGGCAAGGCCAATGCAGGCGCCGATGTTGATTACGCCAGCCGATAACGATGACGATGTCTTCGCGTCGGCGATGTAGGTTGTTTTAAAGAGTTCGACATGCGCGCGCGGCTGACGCGCGCGACACGGATCGACCCCCCCCCCAAGCACGCGCGCAAGGGCGTTCGAATGAGTTGGACATGCGGCACAAGAGGCCCGTTTGGCAAAATTTGATGGTAATGTTGAAAAACTGATGGCTGTCTGAAGAATTCGCAAGAGCGCGAGCGCAGGATCTTCTTGAAAACTGATGCTTGACATATGTTCGGGGCACGGGCACTCGTTATTGAAATCCTTACGAAGTTTCAGGTTTTTGAAGGGTTACAGCTTGCGCGCGCGACCACGCGCGCGTGTGCACGTCGTCCCATGTGTTGCAAGGGATTATTGCGGCAGTACGCTCGCAAGGGCGTCGGAGCAATTTCGACATGCGCGCGCGAGCGGTCCAGTAGCATGTTATGAGCACATTGAAACACCGATGGTTCTCTTAAGAATTTGCAAGAGCGCGACCACGGGCTTTTTTGAAAACGCTCGTTGCGCAAACATGTGTTGTTATATGTTTTAGTGGCTCTCGATAAGATCCTTACGAAACCTCAGGTTTTGAATGATTTCGGCATGCGCGCGCGACGACCCCCGCGAGTGCCCTGGCTGGGATGGTATGTATTCATAAGGAAAACGAGCAACGACGCAGAATCATATGTAAACTGCAATGCGCGAGGCCCACTTGATAAGTCCAGGGGGTGGTGGTGGTGGTAGAATCAATTGTTTAAAGAAAGGAGAATCTCCGTAGTGCAAGCAATGTGGTGCAAACTGGGTGGTGACATTAATTTTTACAAACGAATTGACAAATTCCGTGCTCTTGCAACATCCCACCCACCCACCCGCAACTTGGTTTGCAAAACCCATAACCTTACAATATGGCACCTCCTCTTCCTCCTACTCCTCCAACTCCTCCTCTTCCTCCTCTTCCTCCTCCTCCTCATCATCATCATAATCAGAATCATCATCATCAGCAGCAGCATCAGCACCATCACCAACACCATCACTTACCATCACCATCACCATCACCATCACCATCACCACCATCACCATCACCATCATCATCATCATCATCACCATCACCACCACCATTATCATCATCATCATCATCATCATCATCATCATCATCATCATCATCATCATCAGCATCATCATCACCATCGTCACCATCATCCTCTCGGCGGAGCTCCGCACCGTTCCTCTGGCCATGTGCCATATCCAGCCTGCTCTGAACGCTCGGGAAGCGCTACCCCAACGACGCCGTCAGGCAACGTTGCCCCGCAGCTCAGGGTAAAGCTTGGAACAACACATGGGGACGATGCCCCTGCAGCCGCTGCCGGGGCAGTGATGCATCTGCTCGTGCTGCCCACTAGTGAAGACTCGTTTCTTTACACTGTGAACGCTGGCACGCTCCCATACGCATACGATGTATACACGTGTGCATGTGTTAGACACTCAGGCCTGCGGGACTTCCCCCGAAACATGGTGCGTGGTTTGTTCAACGTCTCGAGCTCGCAGATATATCCCAAAGAACGCCCACTACAATCTGCGGGCTGGCGGCTGCGCAAATAAGATCATTGCGATATGTTCCTGCTCCGGGGAGGACACCCAACGGCGGCTCTCCCGCCCAGGTCAAATGCATCCAAGATGGGTCTCCGGGCCCCTCCCTGTGCCCATCCCGACTCGCTTTTCGGAGCGGACCCAGCCGTGGCGACGAGAAGCCTCCGAGGAGCCCCGAGAAAGACTAGCAAAAAACACGGCAGGAGTGCCGGCGCCGCCTCGAGCGGTCCTCCGCCGATGCCTGCCCCCGACAAGGATAAAGGGGCCCCAGAACACACAAATAAATACACACAAATAAAAATATTCCTCATATTTTCTCATATTTTCTGGGTTTTTGTCTTCCCCCCCAATTCCCATATTTTCGCATATTTTCCTGGGGATCGACGATTAATTGTGTCTGTGTGTTTTTTCCCCTCCTAAAAGGAGGGCGGCGACGGCGGAGGAGCGGGCCAGGAGCCCAGACGCCCGACGTCGGGATTTTGTTCGCAGCGTCGAGCCCCAGAGGTCTCGTTGGAGGCCTGGGAATGGGCACCAACACCAACACCGGGGGGGGTGCCTCCACAGGGGAAGATGAATCCTCGATTTCTTGTGCTGGTGGTAGGATGTCGGCCACCTTGGAAGCCAGAAGTATTGCAACCATCACCGAGATCGGGATCTTCTTCCCTCGGTGGACGCACGCCGCCGATATTGGTGTTGGCGTCAGCCTCTAGGCCTGCGATCTCGATCCATTCCCCGGGACTGGTGTCTCATCTGACGGTCCAGAGGCCCACAGGGCCCCCAGAGGCCCACCCCCGTCCTGATGTCTGTCTCTGCGCGAGGAACTGGTGATGGGCATGTTTTCCACCACCACCGCCAGAAGTTGGAGGGGGGAAGGAGGTGGAGAACGAGTAGGAGGAGAAGGAGGAGGAGGAGGAGGGGGACCCCCTCCCCCTCCAACTTATGATGGTGGTGGTGGGAAACAGGCCCATCAACTGGGGAGCGTCCTCGTCGTCCAGCAGCGTGGCGTTCGCCTTCCTCTCGCTGTTCAGCCGCTGCGCGGTGCGCGCCTGCTTGAACAGCCGCCCCCGCTCCACGCCCGCAGCGCGGCCACCCCAGCTGCAGCCCGCCTCGAGCAGGGAGGGGACCTCCGCGTGCCAGGCCCTGTTCCCAATGGCGAGGTCCACGCGTTGAGGAAGGAAGCTCGGCGTCAGCAGCAGCCGTCGAGCATCGCTGAAGCGATCCTTGCCTCCACTGGCGTGGCCTGGGCCCCACTGGTCGACCTGCCTCCCAGCGGCTGCTCCCTTCGAGTTTCGAGGGCATCTCCCCACAAGGGTGGTAGACTTCGACGAGCGCGCTCCATTACTTACATAAGTAACTACTCGCAAAGGGCCTGTCTCCAGCGAGGATTTACGACACGTGAATTACATCGAGGCAAACAAATGTTTTTGGGCGGCCGTTTGCGAGTAGCCACTTTGCGAGTAGTGGAACGCGCTCAGTGAATAATGGTGGGAAATCGGGATGAGGACGGGGATGGGGATAAGGATCGGTTCACCGATACTGAGCTTTCAGAGGTCCGCGCGGGCTTCTGGCTGGCATCGGCGCTGGGCCCATCCCTGGCGCGCGGAGCGCGCCAGAGGCGGCGCGAGAGGCGCCGCCGGTGGGGGGGGATGTCCAGCGCCGATCCAAGAAGTTCGCGCCGAGCTCGGAAACGCGGTGTGTATGCAGGTGTTCCTTCTTCGGATGTAGGCCTGGCTCGCGGCGGCGTGCTCGCGCGCGAGCAGGCTGGAGCACATGCGCTCCAGCTTGGCCAGGGGCGCGCCCCCCAGAGCGCCCCCCTCCAGGATCTGCCTCAGCGACGTCACGGCGCGGGCGGTCTCCTGGAGCGCGGCCTCGGGCGGCAGGGCGCCCCTGCCCGCGTGGGGGCCCGACTCCCGCCACGCGTGCAGGCAGTGCAGCAGCGCGTGTGCGACGAAGGCGCCCACGTCATCTCCGAAGCTCTCGCGCGGGCGCTGCTGCGCGTGGGCCCCAAGGTCCTCCGGCAGGCCGTCGCTGCCCACGCGCGAGCTCGCCGCCCGCCGCCGCTTCTTCGGAGCGTGCGCGCCCTGCCCCCCGGCATCGGCGGGCGGAGCCGCGGCGGCGGCGCCGGCATCTCCGCCTCGCCCGCGCCGCTCGTCGCCGGCATCGCCCGCGGGGGCGGCCTTCTCCAGAGCCTCCCGGGCCTCCTGGACGCGCACGAGCGCCTCCTTGCACCGCCCCTGCAGGCCCTCGGGGTTCTTGTCGGGGTGCAGCAGCAGCGCCAGCCGCCTGTACGCCAGCCGCACGGCGTACGCGCTCGGCGCCCCCCCGCCGGCGCCGTCGAGCCCCAGGACCTCCGTCGGCCGCCGAGGCGATGCGCCGAGAATGCGGTCCACCTCCACGCGCGCCTTCCCCGCGCGCCGCTCCGCGGCCTCGGCGGCGGCCTCCTCGCGGCGGCGCCTGGCCTCGTCCGCGCCCGCGGCGGCCGCGGCAGCGGCCGCCGCCTCGGCGAAGGCCGCGGCCTCGGCGGCGGCCTCGGCCTCGGCGGCCTCGTCGGCCTCCGCCTGGGCCTGCTCGCGCGCCGCCTCGTCGTCGCGCACGCCGCCCTGGGCGGGCTCGCGGCCGTCCCCCTCGCCGGACGAGGCGCTGCACTCCTGCGAGCAGCGTTGAACCGATCCCCAGCCTTGGGTCGGGCCTGTCCCCCTACAGGGGGATTTTGGGCGAAACACGAAAATACTCAAAACATGCTCCAACCATGCCAAAAAATACTCTATTATCCCGGCAAAGCAACCTAACAGCGATGTGTAGGAGCATATCTGGAAGCATTCCCCTTAAGATTCAGATGAGAATCCAGTTGTAGAATTGTGCTGTTCTCGCAGTCGTAGTCGCATTCGCGATGACAGTCGCAGTGGCAACGGCAGTCACAGACACAGCCTCAGCCTCAGCCTGCCTCAGCCTCAGCCTCAGCCTGCCTCAGCCTCAGCCTGCCTCAGCCTCAGCCTCAGCCTGCTTCAGCCTCAGCCTCAGTCTGCCTTCAGCCTCGGCCTCAGCCTCAGCCTGCCTCAGCCTCAGCCTGCTCAGCCTCAGCCTCAGCCTCAGCCTGCCTCAGCCTCATCAGCCTCAGCCTGCCTCAGCCTCAGCCTCAGCCTGCCTCAGCATTCAAAATGTGGCCCGGGAATGGAGTTCTGGGAACTCGAAGAACACGAAGTGGCCTACAGTTGGCTCCGGGCATTCAAAATCATGCCCAGGAATGGAGTTCTGGGAACTCGAAGACCACGAAGTGGCCTACAGTTGGCTCCGGGCATCCAAAATGTGGCCCGGGAATGGAGTTCTGGGAACTCGAAGAGCACGAAGTGGCCTACAGTTGGCTCCGGGCATCCAAAATGTGGCCCGGGAATGGAGTTCTGGGAACTCGAAGACCACGAAGTGGCCTACAGTTGGCTCCGGGCATTCAAAATGTGGCCCGGGAATGGAATTCTGGGAAGTCGAAGACCACGAAGTGGCCTACAGTTGGCTCCGGGCATTCAGAATGTGGCCCGGGAATGGAGTTCTGGGAGGTGACTGTTGGCTTAAAACGACTTCTGCGGCACCCTGTCCGGCACCCGCCCAGACCCCCCTGTGGAGTCATCTGCTGCTCTCTTTTGACCCTACTAGAAACCTATCAGAACAAGCTGTTAGGTAATTACAACGTCCCCGGACTATGATTTGACTTTTTGGGGATATCCCCCCGTAGAGGGGCAGGCCCGACTTAGCCCTAGCCCCACTGGCGTGGCACGGGCCCCACTGGCCGATCTGCCCCCCCCTGGATAGAACTATAGCATGCTCCCTTCGAGTTCTGGGGTCGCACCGGCGTGTACGGGATGGTGGGGATCGGGATGGGGATGGGGCTCTGTTACAGTCACAACTGATAGCAAGGATGCGCGATGAGGATGCGAGCCACTTGGACCCCCGTGTCGAATCGTTTCGAGCGGGGCTGGCAATCGAAATGGGTGAAGGATGGGCCGAGGAGGCGAGAATGCAAGGGGGTACCCTTGGGAAGGTTGCCCATCCTGACCATCGATGTCAACTGTGTCTCGGGCCGGGCGAAGGGGGGGGGGATAGCAAAGGGGGGGGGTGATGATCAGCTCACGTAGCTAACTTTCCCGGCGCCTCCCGGCGCCGGGAGGCGCCCATGTATATCGAGGAATGGGCCCGGCGGCGGGGCCGAAACCAGCTGCATGCAGCAGACTTCGCCAACCCCCCCTTTCCTAATGCCCCCCTTTCGTCCGGCCCGAGTGTCGGCGATACTCATCCTCCGGGGGCGCCGCCTCCGCGGCGCAGTTCTCCAGGCAGGCCATCGGCGCCGCTGCGACCGCCGCGGCGGGCGCCAGCGCCGGCAGCGCCAGCGCCGGCCCCGCCAGCGCCCGGGGAGGGCGGCAGCCGCGCCCGCGCCGGGTGGCACGGCAGCACGCGTAGCCCCAGCGGCCGGCGGCGCGGTCGTAGTAGGACCCGAACACGGCCGAGTGGCCGCCCTCGAGCTGGTCCTCGAATTTAAGGCCGACGAGAGCTATGTATGCACGGCCACTGGTCCCTGGCCAGGCCCCTCCTGAATCCAGCAGCGGTGTGCACGCCACGCCCTCCTGGCCTGGCCAGGAGGGCGAGCACGCAGCTCCTGGGTTCAGGATGGGCCTGGCCAGGGAGCAGCAGAGATGTATAGACGTCGTCGCCCGAGGCTGAGCACCGATCCGCAACACGCAACCCGTGGCGTGCCGACACGGGGCTCGGCACGTGGATCAAAAGCGGAGGTCCGGCGCGACTCGTCCGCCGAGACGTGGGCCGACACGTTGAGCCAACACGCGCCGTGTTGACACGGACGTTGTGGACACGGCACGTGTGGCGTTTCAGAGAGGGCGTATCAGTGCAGCCGAGGTCCTCGGTGTACCTGGACGGCGCGAGCTGCCGTTCCCCGCCATCGGCCCCAGCGGACATGAAAGGCTGACGCGAAGGCTCGCGAGGCTGCCCGGGCCGGGATGGCTTGGGCCCAAACGGCTGCGCACAGGAGGAGGAGGAGGAGGAGGAAGAGGAGGAGGAGGAGGAGGAGGAGGATTCGATTCGATTCGCACACCTTGAGCGCAAACACGATTTCTGTCATTTAGACTTATTATGCGTTCGATCTGGTTTCGAAATCGCGCAACCCTGAGCCCTGATAGTTCACACAACTGCGGATGCTATCTGGCGCGGTTTACCTCGAACTTCACAAGGGAGATGCATATGCCATGCTCTATGCACCAGGGCCGCAGCTGAGGTCCCGAGGAGGACTAGCCTTGCCTGGGCAGCCACCCGACGCACAAGGTAGCCACGAGGCACCGAGAAAGCTAAGAGGTAGCTCTAGATCAAGTTGTTCGTAGAATACGATTGCTTCTAAAAAGTACACGTAATCTCACAGTCCCTGGGAAGATCCCACACGAGGCCAAATGCTCGGTGGTAATGTGGGCCTCCGAGGGTGGAACGGCAGGAGTCGAAGTGCCCTGGCGCTTGCACGGCGGAACCGCGGCCACAGGGTCGCCGAGCTCTAGAGCACCGATGTGCGGAAGGGGGGGTGGAATGGGAGATTATAAAACGGGGGCAGCCTCAGGCGGTCTCAGATCAGGAGGTGGTGGAGGTGGAGGGTCATCAGGTAGCCAACCTCTCGTATCCTCTGCACTGGTCTCGAAGAAACTCTCACGCTGGGCCTGGGTCCATGGGAAGGGTAGATGAAGAACCTGCAGATTATCGTCAAAAAGTTCGCAGCCCTCATGTGCATCGTGTGTATACTTCAGGAGCATTTCGAGAAACTGCCGAACCTCCCTCTCCGTGTAAACTGCTGGGGCACGTCCATGCTTCCGCTTGACGTTTGGAATATGGCAGATCGAAGAGGTCAC